TAAGACTGAGCTACGCTAGGAATCAGAGGTCACAGAAAAATTTCACCTCATTCTCTGGGGCCATCCTGGCACAGTGATTGGAGAGGAGACTGCCAAAAAGATAGTCACAGAGAGGCTGTGAACTAGTAACAGATCCCTGAGGAATAGTAAGCAGTGGTGGCTCAGGTTGTAGGAAACAGCAGTCCCGCCCTCATGGTGAAAATCCAGCCAATCATCTGTTTTTCTAGGAGTCCAGAAGACTCCTAGCCCCCATAGGTGTTTATTCCAGCACAAAAATTGGTGATTTGCTTCCTGTTTTCCAAATGACCAGAAATATAGCTTGGTAAGGACATTTGCCATATCCTGGGATATATGGACAGAAAGACCTCAGAGCCAAGGGAGGCATCTCATGAAATATAGGCCACAAAGCTAATCAGCGATAGCAGTGACTTTGGGTGCACAGATCATTTAGAGTCCTTGGAGTGAATGGAGCCTTAAATGCAGATGATTATTCATAAGCTAACCACACCTATAAGAAAGATGGAGGAATTCACACAGCAAAAAGTCAGCATGGAAACAAAATAGGCCACAGGTTGTGCAAAGAAATTACTCAACTAAACGTGCAGAAGACTTTGTGGGGCATGCAAGGCTTATCTTTTTTTTTTTTTTTTTTTTTTTAGGGAATATTTTGATTTTGGTTTTAGTTTATTGTCCTATCTTTTGTTCTTTTTTCTTATTTTTCTTTTCTTTTTCTTGTATGTATTTTTCTGTTGCCTTTTACTCACTCCTTTTAACTTTCTTTTTTTTTAGTCTCACTTTTCTCTTCTACTTCTCCTGTCCTCATCTACTTTTTTTTTCTTTACCAAATTTTAATTTTACCCTTCCTCCCACTGGCTCTATTTTTATTGTCATTACTATTAAACTTTATTAATATTAAGTTATTTAGTTGAATTATTGCTGAATTCTTTTCTATTATTAATGATATACAGTTGATAGATATACTAATGATCGTACAGTTGTTACATTTAGTAGATATGTCAATATTTGGCTTAATCTGTGTCTGTGTTATTTTTGCAGATATCTTTTCTTAAAGATGCTATAGTTGGAGCTATTGTTAGTTCTTATGGTATGTCAGTAATTAGTTTGTCTTTGACTCTAATGTTATTGTTCATTTCCTTTATATTGTTAATGTTGGTATAGTTTACCTTCCATTGGTTTTTAGTCTGTGACAATATCTGACTTATCTTTCTGTTATCAGCATTACTACCAGTTTTCTTTCTCTAAAGAGTCTTGAGGATCAAGGCTCCAGTAGCTTGTACATGGAGAAAACTCTCAAATATTATACTGAGTAGCTTGAAGAATAACGTAAACACCAACCCTAACCAAACCCAAAGACTCATCATGTGGTGACAGAATCTAACTAAAGAGATCTCTATAATAGTGACAGAGTTTCTCTACTTTAACTGATCTTCAATCCACAGCAAAAGAACAACAGAGACTTGACAAATTAAGGTAAAAAGATGACCCCAAACTGCTAACTCTTCATGAACTGATTTCATGGACACTAAAGTACAGAGAGCTATAGGCAAATATATCAACCCAGGGAAGACATGTCAGCTCCAGAGTGCCTCTTGGGGCAGGCTGACCATTATCCATCCTGTGATGCAATTCATCTTGCTCCTGTACTCCAGGCATGTCCAGTCCCACGACCATAGGCTGACACTGGTCCATGGACTGTTGGCAGCTGGGTCACAGAGTAAGAGGTGGGCTGTGAGGAGAAAGTAAAGTTTCACCTGTATTTACAGAACCTCGTCATCACTGACATCTCTGCCTGAGCTTTGCCCCCTATCAAATCAATAGTAGAATTAGATTCTCTAGGAACAAGATCCTACTGTGAACAGCACAGATGCCGGATCTAGGTGGAATACTCCTATAAGAATCCAACCCCTGGCGATTTGAAGTGGAGCTGAGGGACTGATTCTAGCACTGGAGAGTGGCTGCAAACACAGGTTAGCATTAACAAGGAGGTTTGGCCATACAGAGAACCTAACGAATAAACACTTGCAGACTCATATCAAAATCTAATTTGTGAGGGATAATTATGCTGTATCTGATGGCAGAACAAAATGAGAACATGGACTAGACTAGACATGAGCAGTGACTCTTTGGGTGTCTCTGCTTCCTGTTGCATGCAGATGTGAATGTCATCTAGCTTTCCTGGTCTGTTCTATGCTTACAGATCTGCATGGGTAATACTTTACGCTGGTTTTGTTCTGTCATTTCATGCCATGTGCCTAGGGTGAGCTGCTTCTGTCCACATTCATTTTGCTATTAATTCAAAGTTTACTTATCGCTTCCTTAGCAGTTTAAGGAAGCTTCCAGGAAATAAAAATCCAACCTTTATGCTATCATAAGTTTTATCTTTTGTAATTTCCATTCATGGCATAACAGAAAATATCACCAAAATATGTTTCACTTATATAAATATGTGTTGGCTTTTCATTCTGTTCTTTCGTGATCTTTGAAACTATCTTTAGAAATATTATTAATAGCAGTATCATGTCATTCAGCGGCATTAGGAGTAAAAGCAGGAGCCACAGAAAAATCTTTTTTTCTCTGTTTTCTTCCCTCACACTTTGTTTTCCCAGTCAAAAATCATTCAAAATTATTCTTGCTAAATTTTAGACACGAAGTGAAGTATTTCAGTATGTTACATCTCTTCCTGAAACTTCAACCTTATCCTTGAAATGAAGCTCACCCAGTTTGCTCTTTGACTTTAAAGTTTAAGCTCTTTCTACTTTGGTATGAATTTTTTCTTAAGCTCCTGAGGGTCACATACCTAAAGAGATTTATCAAACTACAGAAGGAATCTGGGGGTCTCTGTGGATAACAGGCTACCTACAGACACACATTAGACTCGTCAAAAGTTCATTGAGGGGACAAATAAAAATAAGGACAGACCAAATCTCTAATGCCTTTGAGCTTTCAGCACTTTCTGGGCCCACTGGAGATGCAGACTTTGACAGATCCCTTTACAGCCACTGTGCCAACATATTCTTTTCTCCATCACCTCATCCTGACAACCCAGAAGGACGAATAGCTCCCTGAATGTCCAAGGCTACTTCTTTATTAAGAAAGTATAATTTCATGTGCACATGTAAGGGGAAACATACAAAAGAAATCTCATCTGTTTCAGAAAGTACATTTTGAAAGGTGAGTTTGAAATTCATAGAAGTAAATTGAAATTGGGTTGAGTCTCTCTTCCCAATTTCAGAGGCTCTGTGGTAAAAATTGCCTTCATTGGAAAACAGAGATATGGAGTAATTATATCACTGTAGAATGTCTTCCACTTTTGTGAGTGCCAGTTTTTCAAGCTATCCGATGGGAAGAATAATAATTACATGTGTCTAAATTTTATTAAGAGATCCATGGGATGTGTATAGAAAATAAAAAGTCAGAATACAGATCCTCACATATTATGGAGACAGTGTAAATATTCACTCAAATGTAACCATTTTTTTAAATCCCTTTCCAGTTTTTATAGGTAATTTTAGGGAATAACTAACACTTTAAAATTAATCTTAATGTTGCTTGATTCAATGTATGACATAGGTATAAGTTTATACAAAAATATATATGTAAGGTTACATGGATGCATATGTACCTAGCATATCCTTATGTCTTACATGTAAGATGAATATATACATATGCACATAATCTTAAAACATCAACTACAAAGGGATAATATCACTACACACTACTGAGGCATTTCTACAATAGTGTTTACAAAAATTCAGTGTCAGAGGTTTTTAGTTTGATATTGTCTTTTGTTTATTTTGTTTCATTAGCTTTGAAGGACATATCTTAAAAATCACAGCTCAAACCAAAGCAATCAACATATTCCCCTATGTTTACTATGAAAAATTTTACGTTTTCAAGTTCTTCAGTTGTGATTAAACAATTTTGATATAATTTTGCATACGGTGTGAGATAAAGGACATCAGCTGTATCCAACAACTATAATTACTAGAGGATATATGTGCATTTAGTTACGTTTTCAATTCCTCAAGCTTTAACACTTCCTCGTTACCAAGACTGATTAGTAACAAGTGGATATTATTGCACATGACTGGCTGACAAAAATCAAGCCCTGTCCAAACCCCTGTCTTTGTAGCTACCATCACCTAGAACAGGTCATGTGGCATAGTGACAGGCAAAGAGGTTTAAACAACAGGAAAAGGATTGTGCCGCCCAGCATAGAGGAAGGTACTCAGCAAGGTTCCATTGTCTTCACCACCTGTCTTTCCTACTTTTCCAAGCCAGGACTATAAATGCGATGTTAATCATTTTCAGCAACCACTGTGAAATCACCATCATATGGCAACTGGACTACAGAAAGAACAACGGACCTCAAAATCTTTCAGATATGTTGGAGCAGGGATTGTTGTCTTTGCCATGTATTCCAAACTTCTTGTTTTGTATATTTCAAATAATTAACCTGACACTTAGTATAGTAACCACTTTTTAGTATAAGTCTAAGCTGGGATTTTTTATTGGTCTCCCTATTCCAATCAGATTATTATTCACACGACATTAATTTTGGCTACATTTATTTTTGTTTGTGTGTAGATATAAAGGTGATAAATAAATATTTAAAGAATTAGAAAGTAGGAATGAGCTACTCACTAATAAAAATAATTTAGTTCTCACAAATAAAAAATAATTTACTTACCCTGAATTGCATCCAATAAATAGACATTAAGGAGACTAAAGTTTCAAAAACAGATGATGATACTGATAAAGGATACCACAGTTCTCAATGAATCTACGTTTTTATTAAGAAAATGCTTTGTTCCATCTTAGTATATGACAATATTGTGAATTTTCTGTGCATCTGAAAATAGCTGTAGTACAGAAACAAAAAGAAAGTTATGAAAATTTATATTTGAATATTACACAAATACTATCTCTCCTCAGTGATAGGATGGAACAACTCAGTTTACATTAAGTGGAAACACAAATTTTCTTTTTTTTTTTTTTTAAGGGTCTTTGACCCTTTCATTTTATTAAAATGGCATGTAAATATTAAAACAGCATACTGATCACATTATACTTCTGCTTGCCCCAGGTATGAAGCTGGGGAGTGGAGTGGCATGAAGCCTTCCTCCTGAAGGTTGCAGACTCATGCATTGAGCAATTCATGTTCTTTATCAGTTTTCCCAACAGCATCAGGATTTGATAAGGGGTCCAGGTCAGCGAAGAGGCTGAACCAGGCAGTCAGGTCCGAGGCAGCCTTGGCAGGCTCTTTCAGTGCAGGGCTCTTGTCATTTGGATTGCTTGTCTTTGGTGCTGGCCAAGGAGTAGGAGGAGGACTGACATTGCTCTCTGACCAGCCTTGTAGGGAGGCTTGTAAATCTTTCATATTTTGGTCTAACAGCTGCGAAGGGAGGAATCCGGAGCCAGTCTGGAACTTGGCATCTGGCTCTCCCAGGGCCCCCGCTGGTGCTGGCTCTTTTAGCCAATTGTCTCCAAACACAGCTGCCCACTCTTTGCTGAACTCGCCCTCTTCCAGGGAGGAAGCGTTGAAGATCTCACTCAACAGCAGCAAGTCATCCTTGTCAGCGCTGTCGGGTTCTGGGGTCTCAGCCATCGGGCCCAGGCAAGCACCTTCCTCAGGTTTCATGTCTAACAGTTCATCCATAGGTCCTGAACGTGCATTTTGGGTAGAAGTTTTGTCTGAAGTAGATAAAATATTTTTTTCATCTTCATTGTCAAAACTGGAGGATTCCTTGCATTGGTTTTCATCTTCTAATGAAATTAATTGACGTGGCTCCTGGCCTGCTGCCTCTGTGCTATCCTGCTGGGCAATCCTCTTCTTCTCTTCTTTCTCAACGAGTTTTTTCATAGGGTCTTGCAAACTCTTTAGTGTGGTGAACTTATATGGCTGATAGCCCTTGAAGCTCTCATGGATGGCTGCCATAGTTCATGGTAATTCAGGTGCCCAGCAAACAATTCTCTTTGGCTTGAAGTTATTGGGTAAAAAGCTTTCAGCTGAACTTGTTCCTAGAGTGGTCCTTTCATGGCAAAGCCTGATTTGCCATGGAGATTAGTAGCAAGGGGCGTAGCATCTTCTATAGCAAAAGGGTTGGTAGCTACAACATCCAGCTCCGTATCCAGAGCCAATGCCATATCCACAGCCATAGCCACAACCAGAGCCGTATCCATAGCCATAGCCACAGCCAGAGCCGTATCCACAGCCAGAGCCACAGCCAGAACTATATCCACAGCCAGAGCCACAGCCAGAACTATATCCACAGCCATAGCCACAATCAGAGTTGTATCCACAGCCAAATCCACAGCCAGAGCAGTATCCACAGCTGGAGCCGTATCCACAGCCCCTGCAGGAGTTTCCACAGTAGTTGTAACACATGGTGTCAGGATATCAGCTTTTAGTTGAGGAGTAGGAGGCTGTTTCTCAATTGCTAATGCCGTCTGCTCTTCCCAGTCCTTTATATACTCCCCTGGGATGGATGGGTCATAGCTCACATGGACCCTGTTCTCTTGTTTTACAACCATGTGCCTAAAATGAGTATGCTCTGTGCACATTCATTTTGTTAGGAATTCATAATTTGCTTCCTAATTCCCTAGCCATTTTTAGAAACCTTTAAGGAAATAAAGCTATATTTTTCTAAATGCCTAAGCATCTGCTCCTATAATCTGATTTTTCATAATTTCCTTTCATCACCATGATGTAAAGCAACACACCACCAAAGTACGTTTGACCCATAAATATATGTTTTCCTGTCATTCTGTTCTTTCATGCTCTTTGTAACCTCCTATTATATAATACTACTAAGTCAACAGTCAATTTAATATCAGCAAAAAGATGTACAGCAGCAGGGGCTGGAGCATCATCTTGATTTTTTTCTTTCTTCTTCTCGTACACTGATTTCCCCATGAAAATTACTTGAAATTATTTTTTTCTAGAATTTGTACAAAGAATTGAGTATACTAACTTGCTGCATCTCCCTCTTGAAATTTTCTCTTTCTCTTGATAAAGTATAACTTTTATAGCCTATCCTTTTGCCACAAACTTATGACCCTTTCTTTCTTTAATGCTAAAATTGCTTTTTTTAAAATTCCTGATTTCTAAGTTATGTAGGAAGATTTATCATCAATAGGTTAAAGAGAAACCTTGTTGTTGAAGTGTAATTAAATCCAAAAAGTGAGCTGGACTTGGAAGATCACTCAAACTCTACTCAGATGTTTGTGTTATATCATTGCTTCCCATTAAAATCTAATTAATTAATAGTTAATACTTTCTGATCAGAATGTCTAATATGAAATGAGAAAAATGATTTATAGGCTGAGTATTTCAATAAAAAAGAAACAAAATTTTGTCAATATTTGCAGTAATTTGATAACTGATGAAGTCTCGCCACCACTTTTGAATTTTTATGGAAATTGCAATGTTTCTATACATTATTCTGAGGATTCAAACAATTGAACATTATTTATTACAATCCATGAACATAGTGTCTTCCAGGATTTCTTTCACCAAAGTTTTATAATTATTACTGTAAAGATTTTCACAACTCAAATTTTTACTAAAGTATTTTATATAAATATCGGTGCCTTCTAAAAAGGATTATTTTCTTCATTTCTTTTTTCAAAAAGCTTAATATTAAAGTACAGAAGTACAAATAAAGTTTGTTTTCACCTTCTATCCTAAAATTTTATACTATTCATTTTTTGCTTCTAAAATTTTTTAGTAGTATCTTTGGGGATTTCCACAGATAAGATCACGCCATCCTAAAAGCAAGGACTCGTTTTCTTCCTTTCTTATTCGAATGACTCTTGGTGTTGTATAATTGCTTTTGCTAAGATTTGAAATATAATGTTGAAAAAAGGTGGCAGGAATGATTATCTTTGTTTTGTTCTTGACGTTACAGAAGTTTTCAACTTTTCCTATGGACTTGTTTCTCTATAAGCCATATCATGTTCTATTGCACTCCATCCCCAAATTAACTTTTTGAGTTTTTTAATACCATAAAGGATCTTAAATTTCATTACTTTTTTCTGCTTCTAATGAGATGGTTATTGTTTTCCTCCTTTGTTCTATTAATAAGGTATAATATACTCACTGACTTGAGTGTATTAAGTCATCCTTGTGCTCCAAGAATAAATCCCACTTGATCATGGGAAATGTGTTTTCCCTAAAAGTTAGTGTTTTTTTTTTTACTAGTATGTCATTTTGATTTTTGCCCCTATATTTATCAAGAATGTTCATCTCTAGTTTTCTTCAAGAAACAATACAATTGTCCTGTTTTGTTTGCTATCAGAATACTAGCATCATAAACAAATGCAGAAATATTTCCTCTTCAAATTTTTGGAATAATCTGTGAAGGATTTTTATTATTTCCTCTTTTAATATTTTATAGAATTTGGTCATGTTTATCTGTGGGCTTACCTTGATGGAAGACTTTTCACTATTGATTCATTTCTGTTACTTACAGTTTATACATTTATTACCTTGTAATTTACCTTTGGTAAGTTGTATGTTTCTAAAATCTTATCCATTTCTTCTAACATGACCAATTGCTGTTGTATAGATATGTGTAGCTGTATTTCTGATTCTTTGTGTTTCCACAGTACCGTCTTTCCTGTCTGATATTAGTAGGTCTCTCTTTCTTAACTTCAGTAAAGTTTGGCCAATTTTGTTGATCTTTTTACAAACACTATTTATTTTAATTGATTTTTTTCTCTACTCTGTATTTAACTTCTTTCTGCTGCTATCTGTATTACTGTCTTTTTTCTACAAAATTTGAGTTTTAACTTTACTGAATTTTCTAGATCCATGAGTTGTAGACATGCATGGGCTGTATATTTGGGATATCTCAGCTATATTGTTTAATTTCTTATATTTGGAAATTTTCTGCAGTACATTTCACTATTGATATCTAAACTCACGTGGATTGGAAATATATACGATATTGTCAAAATCTTTGCAATGGGTGAATATATGCTTGAATATAATATATTATATATCATGGCAAACTGTGTGCTCTTAATAAGACTGTATGTTTTGATGATATCACTTGAAGTATTCTCTTCATGTCTATCAAGTCTTTTCATATGTAAAACAAATTTTTAAGATACGTAAAGAGACAAATGTAAGAAAATCTTAGAAAAAAAAGCTTAGAGACAAACTCATGCATATGCAGTGACAACATGCACCATATAAACAAGGAATCACCGGACTGCTCACTAGGTGGTGTTGGAGGAGCTGGTTCACCACAGTGAAAAAGGAAAATGAAGCAACATATAAAATGATAGATTTCAGGTAGACTCACAATTCACATATTAGCTATCAAGAAATGTAAATACAAGCTAAAATTATTTCTCATATCTCAAGTGAGAAATGTTAGAAAGTTACACATTAACAAGATTTCAAATAGATCTTAAATAAGAACTGCAGTTTTAGAGACTGGACCAGTGCAAATACACTGGGCAGTAAACAAACTGTATCCATAAAATGCAACATGCACACACTTCCCCTCAGCAATTTGTATCAGGGGTTGATTCTCCTGGAAGCACAGGGGAACACTACTTATTAGAGCAGTGCTGTGGAGAAGAAACCTGGGGAGACACCTGTGATCACCGATACACTGAAAAGGCAAAGTTTTGAGTATGTGCCACGTGATAGGCCATTCAACAACTAGAAATAATAATAGAATAATGGCCTTCACCAGTGTTCTTGCTTCCTGATTCATGGCTATAAAATGGTCATTAGAAATAATGATCTGAATGTATAGTATGTTACTAACACAGATGAATCTTTCACTACAAATCACGCTAACAGACAAAAAAGCCAAGATATATATTGTTATCTACACAGTGTCAATATATTTATGCAATTAAATTTGAATATGTCAAGTTGAAGATTGTTGATTTTATGGATTTTTGCAGTATTTGCACTACTTGCATATAAGTAATAGACATTTTGAAGTGGACCCACATCTAGACATGAAATTCATTTATGATGCATACACAACACATATAACCTGAAGACAATTTTTTAAAATTATTTTTAAGAATTCTGTGTGAAATATTCTTCCAATTGTAATAACTCTAAACAGTTTGAGATGGGAGATTCCAGATTCTAGATTTTCTATTAGGATACTGAACCTTTAAAATAGCCATCCCTATTAAAACCCTGCTGGTATGCAGGGGACAGTTGAATATAAAATACCATAAGCCATTAAAGGATTGTGAATGACAAATGTAAATATTTGTAGGGATAAAAATAAAAATAGTAGAATATCCATTAAAAATATTGAACAAAAATTTAAAAATAGAAAAATCTGTGTGAGCAAAATACATATATATGAAAATATATGTCTTGATCATAGAACACATTGCATGATTAAATTTATAAATACATCTTACAATAAAAGACACGTCAAGAACAATTGCATAATTATATGCAAAGGAAGTGGGTGTATTTTAAGTATTTTAGGGGATTAATAGTAAAGTGCCTTTTCCATAACAATTTTTTTTATTTAAACATCCACCATAGTCTGAACACTCCTCCTTGATTAGAAGCATACAACACTTTTCTAGCAAACAAAAACATTTTGTTATGCCCTCATCCACTTTACTCACTAGATCTGCCTCTGGGATTCTAGTTTTCCCCAAAGTCAAAATGACCACGAATTCATTCAGGACATCAAGGCAGCCATGACAACATAGCTAAGACACTTGTGACAGTGGGTTTCCAAGACTGCATCAGAAAACGGTAAAAACAATGTGGTAAATGATTTTGGTGTGAGGCAAGGGTGTGCCTTGTACTGTAATAAACTTACTTACCCATTCACTGTGTTTTTCAGTCTTACTTTAATTAAAATGAGTTATATACACTTGAGGGAAAATTAGGTGAAAATGTCAAAATTACATTTTCCAAACTCACAATCCTGTACGATGTATATCCACATGCTGGAGATCCTGCTTCCTTGGCCTTCAGCTTTTTGGCTTGTTATCTAACATCTGTGTAAGATCAGAACACACTGCTGGCTGACATAGAAACAGTCCTTAGTCTCAATCTTTTTTTTTCAGCTACTACTGCCAGCTAGGATTGGTCCCATCACAGCACAGTGGCTTGAAATTGCTGAATACTTTGAAAGGAATGCCCTTTAAGATTTCTTTGTCTTCATCAGCTCTTCCAGTTCTGTTTTCACAACTTGAATATCAGAATGTCATTGGTCATTCTCTGCAATTGGTGTGAGACCATCGATACAGAAGTCAAGCGGCTCATATAGGGAACAGGAAGAATACAAATTCCAGTCCATTGTGATTTCTTTGAGGTCCTTTCATAGCTTTATGTATAAAAGATTTCCTCATGCAGTACTATAGAAAGTGCTATTTTAAATTAATATTAATATTTTATTACCATCTAATAAACCACTATCATGTCAATACTCCAGCACTGATGCATTAATTTTATAAATAAATTCTTATTCTTATCAATTGCCCAACCCCAATACATTACTCATACGAGTCAGGATGTTCAGAATGTGGCAATTATTTTTTTGTTGAAATATAAAGGAAATTAATAACCGCTTAATTAACTATAAAATATATAAAAGCAGCTAATATTTGAATTAAACCAATAAAAGTGTATCCCAAATTGTTGGTTAAAAGATGATCCAAGAGATGGAAAAAATCCAAAACTCAAAGATAACAGTGACACAAAGGAGACAAAATTTCTTAGTAAAAAATTTATTAAGAAAACTACTTGTTTGTTACATTACAGTATATGCAAAATACAGAGCTCAAGATTCTCAAGATAGTTTTACAATAAAGAAAGACAAGTTAAGTAATTTATATTTCAATACTCAACACAATAAAATCTGTCTACAGTAATGTGATGAAACTATTCCACATCAAGAGTAAGTAGAAGCAGCAATCTTAACTCAGTGGTCCAGAAGACAACAATCAACCTCTCTTTTGGTTTGAAGTTAGTGGATAGAGAAGATTTCAACTGAACTTGTCCTTGAAGTGGTTACTTCAGAGACAAAGCATGACTTGTCAAGGTGATTAGCAGCAAGAAGAGTAGTATCTTCTGTAGCAAAAGGGTCGGAAGCTACAGCAGCCAGAGCCGTATCCACAGCCATATCCACAGCCAGAACTGCAGCCAGAGCCGTACCCACAGCTAGAGCCGTACCCACAGCCCCTGCAGGAGTTTCTGTAGTAATTACAACACATGGTGTCAGATGAGTTTTCAGGTCAGGAGCGGGAGAGCTTTTTTCAAGTGTGAATCTCATCTCTCCCAGCCCCATTATATACCTACAGGAGAGGATGGGTCATACCTCACATGAACTTCCTTCTCTCATTTTCCAACCTTGTGCCTTAAAATGATGTCATTCTATTCACAGCCATTTACTTAGGAATTCACAGTTTACTTACTGCTGCCCCAGGAGTTTTCACAAGCCTTCAAGGAAATAAATGTGTATTTCTAAAAGTTGAAACTTATACAACCATAATTTCATTCTTGAGTGTGTCATGAAATGATACAGCACAGCATCAAAATATGTTCAACCCACAAATAGATGTTTACTTGTTTCTTTGTTCTTTTAAGAGCCTAGAAATCATCGTGTGCTAAACAGTACTATTAAGAATCAGAATTATTATTTCTAGCAACAGCAAAAACAACAGTAGCAGTAGAATCATTGTGCATTCTTTTCTTCCTTTCCTCACTTTATTTTTTACACCAAACCACTCCAAATTACTTTTCTGGGATTTCAGACCAAGTACTGAGTTTTTCAACCACTCTTTGATACTTTCTCTTTCTCTTTAAGGGGCGGTTGTCTATCTTAATCTTTTCTGGAAGGTACTTGAATTTAAAATTGTGACAGCAATGTGATGAGATTTATCATGCATGATTTTGGGAAATTTTTTCTCAGCAAGTCAGTGCAGAGGAATGAAATTGATTGGTTTTGTAAGTTCTTTCAACTGAAATCCAACTAAGATCAGTTCTTAAATACATGTCATTAGTAAGATGCACTCTCATTGACTGTGCCCAATGTTCCTGCCACCCATAAAAATTAAATTGATCAATATCTAGTACTTCCATATTAGTGTTATTGATGGAATATTGAGAATTGGTTTGGTCACAGGATCAAAGAGTATTTCAAAGAATACTCTTTGTGCTTTATTACACTCATTGCTTATTAAAATAAATATTAATGCATTATAATTCAATGTTACTGAAAGAGTAGATTTTAAATAATTGTAACCTCCCCAAAGTGATGAATATGTGTATGTCTTATTCATCTGTACTTATCAATTAGTTTGCAATAATATTTCCACATAATCTTTCAGTTTAGTTTTGTGTGTCTGTTCCAGAACAGTATTTTAATAAGAATATTTACTTACACTATATCTGATGGATCCTAACAATTATAATATCAATGGTTTTTTACTGTTCATTGGTCATTCTTATTCATCTTTATTTTTAACTTCATATCATTCTCTTCCTTTGTTACTATAATTGTAGATTTTTAGTCCATGACTTCAACTTTATTCCCAAAATATTATTCAACGTCATTAGGCCTTTGAATTCTTTTGTGTTTTCTTTACTCTGAAATCTTCTTAGTTCCCACACTATAAATCTGATATGCTTCTACTGAGTCAGCTATCACATATAAAAATAAAGCAAAACCAGGACCTTTTCAAAGTCCATGTACATTCTCTCTTGAGAAAACGTAAGGTCATGCAACCACTTAAAGAGGAATATACAGAGAAATCTCATCCCAATCCCTGTGTCCCTTTTCTGTCAACTAGGTCCCACCTCTTAAATTTCTATCACCCTGCAATAATGATTTCGGATTATAATCCATCAGTGGATTAACACACTCATTAGGTTAGAATCCTTTTAAGCAATCACCTTCCAAAACAGCCTGTGACTAAATTTTCATCAGTGACCTTCATCACAATAACCATTTGGAAACATTTCATATCTAAACCCTAACTACAGCCAGGGTAATGTCCTGAACCTGTATGAACATCAGTTTCTAAAACAACCATTTAGAAATGAAAAGTTATGCACGTTTAAAATTTTGCCATAGGTCTAGTAGGGGTTTTCAGGAACTAGAAAGAGCAGTGTACAGATCCTCACACAGTGATACCTCAGTTATCGAGCTCACTTCATTTCAAATTCATATTCGAACACCAAAAATTTCAAGAACTGAACATAGCTGTCCCATAAGAAATAATGGAAAATAAAATAATTGTTTCTAAAGCCCAAAAATTACTACTGATGATATCTCTAACTTTCTCTGGAGTCATAGTAATGTGATTTTTTGCAAATAAAGTGCAAAATAAAAGCACAATGACAATTATTTCAATGCACCAATACAAGCTCTATGTCTTGTCTGAGTGAGAGCAGAGCTTGACTGAATCATCTTCCTCTGGTGTCTACAGTGAGATTTTCAGCTCCAGCATCTGGCAAAGTTAATAAACAAGGAGCAGTTGTTTTTCAAACTTTGCTGGTAAGCAGTGGAAATTCAAGCTTGGAGCCATTAGATAATGAAGGTATCACTGTACACCTGTAGAGAATGCTTTCAATTTTTCTTCTGCTTTTTTTCAAATAGAAGCACTCTCAATAAACAATTACTTTTCAAATTTCTCTGTATACTTACACCAATGCTTTTATTTACTTCAGTTTGAAGACTTCCTCTAGTCCTGCCTTGTTACTTACCTATTACTTCTTTTTTAAATTGTTATATGTATGGTACCATTTATGATACCATAATATCAGCATTCATCTTTGGGAATTGGTATGTATATGTACCACACCTTAATCATTTTTGTTTGCCCGCCAATCCCTACCCCACCTTCTCCTCTGGTCCTCAGCTCCCATTCCTGTTTCTTCAAAATCAACCTTCCTGATAGCTATCATTTATCTTTTATTTTGTTCTTCAAATTATTTATATTTTTGGTTCCTTCTTAAGAAAATTCATGTTGTACTTAAGTTTCTGGTCTGGTTTATTTTACTTAGTACTGTGGTCCCAAGGATATGTCCTTTTGCTATGAATGACCTGAGTTTTTCCTTTCAGGATAGAAAAGATATACAGTTTTATATGTACAGCATATTTTTATCCATTGATGTGAGAATATAAGCCACTTCCATAAATTAGGAATTAACCATACTATAAAATAATTAATCAACTGCCATTGTAACATTGTGTCTTTTTGTCTTTTGAGAAAATATTTGGAAGAAGTATACCCAGATCAGATGGAATTTCTATTTTTAGCTGTTTAAGAAATTTCTATACCGATTTCAACAGAAGTTTCACACATTTACATCCCCACCTACAATACAGAAGTGCTCCTTTTTCTCTAAAGATTCACCAGCATTTGTTATTTTTTGATTTCCTAATAATAGTCACTCTTTCTGGACTGCAATGAACTTTCAGTGATGTTTTGATTTGCATTTCTCTAATGCCCAAATACGCTGTGCATTTTTATGATCTTTTTAGATTCCACTGAACAAGGGAGATCATATGGTAATTTTTCTTTCTCTGTGTGATTTATTTCACTTAAGTTTTAATGCCCTCCAACTTCATTTATATTGTCACACATGATCGAATTTTTTCAAGTGTAATAGCATTGCATCAGTATTTATTCTATATTTTCTTTAGCCATTTCTCCTTAGATTCCACATCTTCACTGCTGTGAAGAATGGTGCAATGAGCAAGGGAATACAGACACATCCAGAGCAGATTTAGACTCTTTGCACCTATACACAGAAGTGATACTACTGAGTCACATTTCAGTTCTGTTTCTAATATTTTATGGGTCATGTATCCTGTTTTCCATTATACTTACACTAATTTACATTCCCACAAAATATATAGAAGTTTTCCATTTTTAATGTACACTATACGCCACTTACATTTTATTTTCCTTTTCATAACAGCCATTATAATAAACATAAAGTAACATCTAACTATTGGTTTAATTTTAGGTTCTTTCTTGATAAATGAGGGTGAGAGTTTTTGCACATCTGTTGAGTATGTGTTGTCTTTTGAGAAATGTCATTGTGATCCATTGCCTATTTTTCTTAACATTAAGTAGTTTAGTTCCCTAAAATTGTTTAGTGTTAATCCCTAACCAGATGTGTGATTTGCAAATAAACCTCCCATTGTATAATTTTCTATTTAATCTGTTGATTATTACCTTTGTTATGCAGAAACTTTGGAGTTTGGCATGGCTCCATTTCTCTCATTTGCATTTCTCAGAGATTTTCTGTAGACAACTCCTGAAACTCTTTATACAAACTGACATGTTCTGTGTCGACTCAACTGGAGTGTTTTTGAATATGATAGGAAGTGAAGTTTTTATTTCATTCTTCTGCAAGCGAATTATACAGGCTTCCCAACCCCGTTTATTGAAGAGGTGATCCTCCATTGTTTGTGTATATTATTATTGTCAAAATTAAATAATCTCTTTCTGAGCTTATGGTTTGCTTCCACTTGTCAATTTTCCTTTTTCTGAAAATATAATGCTTTTTTTATTGCTACAGGCTTCTAGACTTTGACATAATGTAGTGTTTTGCTTTGGGCCTTTCCTTTTTTGCTTTGTCTATTCACAGTTATCTGCAGTTTTGTAAGAATTTTTAGCTTGTTTTTCTAATTCTTTGAAAACTGACAGAACAATTTGGTAGCTATTGCAAATGAATCTCTGGGTACTGTGGACACTGTGACAGTATTAATTATTCTAAGATGTCCATATGACATGGCTTTTCATTTATTTGCACCTTGAACAACTTCTATCACAAACATTTTTTAGTTTTCAGTTGGAAGATTGTTCATCTTCTTGACAAAACTTAGTCCTAAGTATTTTATTTAATTTTGAGCTATTGTTAATGGAGTTATTTTCTTGCTTCGTTTTCAAGTAGCTGGAAAATAGTATGTAAGAAAATTCTAATGATTTAGTACATTAATTCCAAAACTTTACTAAATTCATTTTATTACTTTTCAAAAATTTTTGATGGAATTTTTAGCATATTCTATATATGACTATGACATCTAAAGAAGTGATTGACTTTAACTTCTGCTATCTATTTTTGATACATTTTATTTCTTTTTCTAGCCAAATTATTGCGGCTTAAACCTACAGTACTGTGCTGAACACTACTGGTGAGAATAGATACTTTACAAGAAAAGCATTTATTTTCCCCATTTAACATAATGTCTGTTATAGATTTAGTCTCTTTCATATTTATT